CTACTCTACTCTCTCTATCTCTACAAGTCACTCTTCACCTATATTAATTTCAATGAAATAAATATCACCAGGAATTCTGGTAAACATTAATATAATTATGTGATCGTATGTTAAATTTAATAAATGACTACATATACAAATTTATGTAACAGAAGGAGAATATATAATAGTAACACTCACCAATTTGTCTGGAGATTACTTGATGTGTCATACACAAACCCCTGCCTAAAATATGAAGAAAATACTGGCCAGAATTCCAACATAAAAATAGACATTACTCAACTGGGGTAATTTTAACCTTTTCTCATCTACTTACTGAGTCCTGTCTAGTTGCCTGTTTATCACATTCTGCAGGACTGCAAATCCAACAATTTCTGCTCCTATTTGAGAGGTTTTAAACACAATTTAACCTCTAGATCGATGAAAATTCTTCTGATTTTCACTATCATTTATCTTGCCCAGTTCAAAAACAATGGCCTCCTGCAAGCAACACTAACATCGTCACTGGTTTCTTTATTCTTTACAAATTAATTTTTATTAACTACAATATATATCATCAATTTACATACAAAATACACTGTATTTTCGGAAAATATACATTTTCCACAAGAACCTTAGAAAACTAACTAAACCTTATTACAAAAAGCTTAATTTAATTTAGGCTAATCCAACCAGAAATATTTTAGATAAGTTTACAATAATTTAATAATAAATAAACACAATGAAATACTTTTTTTTTGTTAGATTCAGAATGATTTTTGCAAAATTATTGCATACACAAATTTTCGCTTGTCCTATTTGGCAAGATGAGCGTTGCTATTTAAGCCAAGATCGCAAGTTTTATATATTTGGCACGACATATATATAAATATTATTTTTTCAATGTCCCAGCCATATCCCTATGAGGCTGGGTGGCCCAGAAGGACAAACAGAAGTTTCTCCTTGCAAATTTAGTAATATATACAGGAGAAGGGGTTACTATCCCCTTGCTCCCGGCATTTTAGTCGCCTCTTACAACACTCATTGTGAAGTAAAACATGATTCTTCCTCCGTGAGCCATGAACGTCATAAGGCGGCTATGATGCAGGGAGCAAGGACCTAGTAACCCGTTATCCTTTATACATTACTAAATTTAAAAGGAGAAATTTTAGTTTTAGCTTTTGGGCCACCCTGCCTCAGTGGGATACTGCCAGATTGTTGAAAGAAGAAAATAGTAGTTTGGAGATTAGGAGGTGTTGGATTACGACAACTATTATCCAGAAGGCTGAGGAGTTGTTGTTGAGGTGGTTCGAACATTTTGAGAGCATCGAACAAAACAGAATGACTTAGTGTATAAATCTGCAGTGGAGGGAAGGAAGTGTAGAGGTCAACCTAGGAGAGGTCTCAGGTGGTAAAGGAGGTTTTGTGTGCGAGGAGTCTGGTCTTCCAGGTAGCATTTGTGACGATTTAAGATATGAGTAAATGTTGACAAATACTTTTTAGGACTTGATTTGCTATTATAATTATCTTTGTTATTTTTTTTATTATCAGACTGGCCGATTCCCACCAAGGCAGGGTGGCCCGAAAAAGAAAAACTTTCACCATCATTCACTCCATCACTGTCTTGCCAGAAGTTTGCTTTACACTACAGTTTTTAAACTGCAACATTAACACCCCTCCTTCAGAGTGCAGGCACTGTACTTCCCATCTCCAGGACTCAAGTCCGGCCTGCCGGTTTCCTTGAACCCCTTCATAAATGTTACTTTGCTCACACTCCAACAGCACGTCAAGTATTAAAAACCATTTGTCTCCATTCACTCCTATCAAACACGCTCACGCATGCCTGCTGGAAGTCCAAGCCCCTCGCACACAAAACCTCCTTTACTTCCTCCCTCCAACCTTTCCTAGGCCGACCCCTACCCCGCCTTCCTTCCACTACAGACTGATACACTCTTGAAGTTATTCTGTTTCGCTTCATTCTCTCCACATGTCCGAACCACCTCAACAACCCTTCCTCAGCCCTCTGGACAACAGTTTTGGTAATCCCGCACCTCCTCCTAACTTCCAAACTACGAATTCTCTGCATTATATTCACACCACACATTGCTCTCAGACATGACATCTCCACTGCCTCCAGCCTTCTCCTCACTGCAACATTCATCACCCATGCTTCACACCCATACAAGAGCGTTGGTAAAACTATACTCTCATACATTCCCCTCTTTGCCTCCAAGGACAAAGTTCTTTGTCTCCACAGACTCCTAAGTGCACCACTCACCCTTTTCCCCTCATCAATTCTATGATTCACCTCATGTTTCATAGACCCATCCGCTGACACGTCCACTCCCAAATATCTGAATACATTCACCTCCTCCATATTCTCTCCCTCCAATCTGATATCCAATCTTTCATCACCTAATCTTTTTGTTATCCTCATAACCTTACTCTTTCCTGTATTCACTTTCAATTTTCTTCTTTTGCACACCCTACCAAATTCATCCACCAATCTCTGCAACTTCTCTTCAGAATCTCCCAAGAGCACAGTGTCATCAGCAAAGAGCAACTGTGACAACTCCCACTTTATGTGTAATTCTTTTTCTTTTAACTCCACGCCTCTTGCCAAGACCCTCGCATTTACTTCTCTTACAACCCCATCCATAAATATATTAAACAACCACGGTGACATAACACATCCTTGTCTAAGGCCTACTTTTACTGGAAAATAATTTTCCTCTTTCCTACATACTCTAACTTGAGCCTCACTATCCTCGTAAAATCTCTTCACTGCTTTCAGTAACCTACCTCCTACACCATACACCTGCAACATCTGCCACATTGCCCCCCTATCCACCCTGTCATACGCCTTTTCCAAATCCATAAATGCCACAAAGACCTCTTTAGCCTTATCTAAATACTGTTCACTTATATGTTTCACTGTAAACACCTTGTCCACACACCCCCTACCTTTCCTAAAGCCTCCTTGTTCATTTGCTATCCTATTCTCCGTCTTACTCTTAATTCTTTTAATAATAACTCTACCATACACTTTGCCAGGTATACTCAACAGACTTATCCCCCTATAATTTTTGCACTCTCTTTTATCCCCTTTGCCTTTATACAAAGCAACTTTGCATGCTCTCTGCCAATCCCTAGGTACCTTACCCTCTTCCATACATTTATTAAATAATTGCACCAACCACTCCAAAACTATATCCCCACCTGCTTTTAACATTTCTATCTTAATCCCATCAATCCCGGCTGCCTTACCCCCTTTCATTTCAACTACTGCCTCGCGAACTTCCCCCACACTCACAACTTGCTCTTCCTCACTCCTACAAGATGTTGTTCCTCCTTGCCCTATACACGAAATCACAGCTTCCCTATCTTCATCAACATTTAACAATTCCTCAAAATATTCCCTCCATCTTCCCAATACCTCTAACTCTCCATTTAATAACTCTCCTCTCCTATTTTAAACTGACAAATCCATTTGTTCTCTAGGCTTTCTTAACTTGTTAATCTTTTATCTACCAATACATAATCCAACAAACTACTGTCATTTCGCCCTACATCATATCTTGTATACTTATTTATCCTCTTTTTCTTAAAATATGTATTACCTATAACTAAATCCCTTTCTATACAAAGTTCAATCAAAGAGCTCCCATTATCATTTACACCTGGCACCCCAAACTTACCTACCACACCCTCTCTAAAAGTTTCTCCTACTTTAGCATACAGGTCCCCTACCACAATTACTCTCTCACTTGGTTCAAAGGCTCCTATACATTCACTTAACATCTCCCAAAATCTCTCTCTCTCCTCTGCATTCCTCTCTTCTCCAGGTGCATACACGCTTATTATGACCCACTTCTCGCATCCAACCTTTACTTTAATCCACATAATTCTTGAATTTACACATTCATATTCTCTTTTCTCCTTCCATAACTGATCATTCAACATTACTGCTACCCCTTCCTTTGCTCTAACTCTCTCAGATACTCCAGATTTAATCCCATTTATTTCCCCCCACCGAAACTCCCCTACCCCCTTCAGCTTTGTTTCGCTTAGGGCCAGGACATCCAACTTCTTTTTATTCATAACATCAGCAATCATCGTTTTCTTGTCATCCGCACTACATCCACGCACATTTAAGCATCACAGTTTTATAAAGTTTTTCTTCTTCTCTTTTTTAGTAAATGTCTACAGGAGAATGGGTTACTAGCCCATTGCTCCCGGCATTTTAGTCGCCTCATACGACACGCATGGCTTACGGAGGAAAGATTCTTTTCCACTTCCCCATGGACAATAGAAGAAATAAAGAGGAACAAGAGCTATTTAGAAAAAGGAGAAAAACCTAGATGTATGTATATATATATGCATGTGCGTGTCTGTGAAGTGTGACCAAAGTGTAAGTAGGTGTAGCAAGATATCCCTGTTATCTAGCGTGTTTATGAGACAGAAAAAGAAACCAGCAATCCTACCATCATGCAAAACAGTTACAGGTTTCTGTTTCACAGTCATCTGGCAGGACGGTAGTACTTCCCTGGGTGGTTGCTGTCTACCAACCTACTACCTATTATTATTATTATTATTATTATTATTATTGTTAATATTATTATTATTATTATTATTATTATTATTATTATTATTATTATTATTATTATTATTATTATTATTATATTATTTTTAATAATAATAATAATAATAATAATAATAATAATAATAATAATAATAATAATAATATTATTATTATTATTATTATTATTATTGTTATTTTTATTATTATTATTATTATTATTATTATTATTATTATTATTATTATTATTATTATTATTATTATTATTATTATTATTATTATTGTTGTTGTTGTTGTTGTTGTTGTTGTTGTTGTTGAAACATAATGTGAAATACATAAATTTTAAGAAAATAAATATTAGTACTGCTGATTCATAAACGACTATGACTACTATTCGTATTACTAATGCTGCTGCTGCTACAACTACTATTGACAATATTAATTTTAATTATATTTCGATGAATCAAATCAAAATGTTTTGTGGTGCAGGTAAGACTGCTCTTCACATAGCAGCTGCGGTTGGTCATGTAGATTGTGTGAAGATCCTTCTTGCTGCTACTGATCCCAACTGTCAGGATGATGATGGATGGACACCTCTACACTGTGCAGCGAGGGGCAACCATTCTGGAGTTCTTCAAGTTTTATTAAATGATTCACGCTGTGATCCGTCACTTCCTTCTAAAGTAAAAGGTATTGTCCTAAAAATTTCGTTTTCCTTAATAAAGTCTGCCTCCATAACTATGCCTTTGTCTATATTGTGAGTGTGTTTGTACTTTTCTATGTGTATGTAATAAACATTATATGGTTACAAGGGTTGAGTCTCAGCTGCTGCCATAATTTTCTTGTTGCCACTTACCAGATTCTATCTACAAACATCTTTATCTAGTCCATTCCTCTTCCTGACCATCCTGAGTTTAAATTATGTCTTGAATTCTTCATATCTCTTCTGTATATTACCTTCTCTAATCTTTCAAACAGTCAAATTCTGTCTATCATCTAAATTCTCTAAAAGTATTTTGTATAGTTATTCAACGTCTCCACTTGTTCTTTTATCAAATGCTTGAACCCCTTAACTGGGGACTATTCTTGCTGATATATCAAGTGTTAGTTAAACTCTAGTGTTGAATATTCCAAAATGGGCATGACAAATATTATATAGAGGGTTTTGAATTATGGTTGAGATTCCTGAAGCTACTCCTAAATTTATGAAAATAAAAGTTTTTGTTACAGAGGATTTTCGTTTGTTGGTGACTCTGGTGATATGTTTGAAACTATGCTCACTCTGGTATCCGGTCGACTTGACTGATCACCAAAAGTCATATCCGTGTATTTCGTGAGATTCAATTCAAAACAAGGGGTTGGACAAAATAATGGAAACACCTTGAAATTTTAAACAAATTTATCGTAATATGGTGTACGACCATTTTTGGCAGTAATTACTGCTTGAATTCTACGAGGAATTGATTCATACAATGTTTGAATAAATTCTAGGGGTATTTTTGTCGATTCTTCAAATAAAACAATCTCCAGTTCCTTAAGTGATGATGGTGTTGCAACCATAGGATGAAGTTGATCTACTAAAATGTTTAAATAATCTTAACTTTTATTTCTGCCATGAAGGGCAACCACTGGGCCTGCAGATTTCCAAGATATAGCATCTCAAATAATCACAGAACCTCCTCTGTGTTTATCAATTGGAAGAAGACAGTCGGGATCATATGCTTCTTTTGGCTGTCTCCACACGTATACTCGGCTTGAGGTTGGAAATAATGACTCGTTGGAGAAAAATAAAATTCTTCCAGTGATCTAAGGACCACTATTCATGATTTTTACACCAATCTACATGCTTTTCAACATTGGTTTTTGAAAGTAAGGGTTTCCTAATTGCAGTTCTCGCATAAAATCCTGCTTTATGAAGTTCCCTTCTTACAGTTTTTGTGGAAACTGGGTTATGGAGGTGTTCATTAAGCTCTGCTGCAGTTTTGGATGCTGTAGTCGTATGATCCTTTCTAGCAATCCGTGAAAGAGTTCGACGATCCCTATCTGACAGGTTTCGCTTCCTTCCAGAGTTTTTCTTTGATGAAGAGGTTTTCCCATCTTTTACAAAGGCTGTCATCACCTTCGAGACAATACCTTTTGATAAACCAAAAAGTCCAGCTGTTTTCGTTACGCTACAACCACTCATACGAGCACCAACAATTCGAACCCATTCAAAGTCTGACAGATCTATCATTTTAGGGATTTTAGTTAATTTCTCTTCATAAATCTGTAAAAAAATAACATTTTCAGCAAAAAGGAATAAGAAAGACTAATAATAAATCACAAAAACACAAAAATACCAAAATTTCATGATTTTATACAAGTTACAAAATTATTATGTGAAGATGCTAGGAAGGGTTGTTGAGGTGGTTCGGACATGTAGAGAGAATGGAGCGAAACAGAATGACTTCAAGAGTGTATCAGTCTGTAGTGGAAGGAAGGCGGGGTAGGGGTCGGCCTAGGAAAGGTTGGAGAGAAGGGGTAAAGGAGGTTTTGTGTGCGAGGGGCTTGGACTTCCAGCAGGTATGCATGAGCGTGTTTGATAGGAGTGAATGGAGACAAATGGTTTTTAATACTTGACGTGCTGTTGGAGTGTGAGCAAAGTAACATTTATGAAGGGGTTCAGGGAAACCGGCAGGCCGGACTTGAGTCCTGGAGATGGGAAGTACAGTGCCTGCACTCTGAAGGAGGGGTGTTAATGTTGCAGTTTAAAAACTGTAGTGTAAAGCACCCTTCTGGCAAGACAGTGATGGAGTGAATGATGGTGAAAGTTTTTCTTTTTCGGGCCACCCTGCCTTGGTGGGAATCGGCCAGTGTGATAATAAATATATATATATATATATATATATATATATATATATATATATATATATATATATATATATATATATATATAAACAGTGCTTTACCAATCTACCCACACTGGACAATACCTTGGCGTGTAGCTTGCACTACACGTTTGATCCAAGGCAGCCAGCTTTCATGGAGAAGGCTTACAGCTTTTTATCTCATCCCCTGCATGCATCAGCCTAACTAGAGAGTTTAACAATGCAAGGAATTCGCAAGAGCAGGCGAAATATACACAAACATTGATCTCTGGCTGAAGGAGACTCGAACCTACGAACCTTGGAACAAGGTACGCAGAGCTATACGAATCTCACCACACTGGACAATGCGCCGGCGTCCAGCTTTTGCTAGACGTTTGATCCAAGGCAGTCAGCTTTCATGGAGAAGGCATTCCCGTGGTGTAACACAGCCCACCTCCCGCCCACCCGATCACTGCAGTTGCGTAACACAGAACACCACCCGCCCACCCGAGCACTGCATTGTTGGTGTAACACCGCCCATTACCCGCCCAACAAACCACTGCAGTGTTGGTGCAACACCACCGACCACCTGCCCACCCGAGCACTGCAGTGTTGGTGTAACACCGCCCACCAATCACCCACCCGACCACTGCAGTGTTGGTGTAACTCAGCACACCACCCACCCTCACGAGCACTGCAGTGGTGTAACACCGCCCACCACACGCCCACTTGAGCACTGCAGTTTCGCAACACTTCACACAGACCTGCCCACCTGAACACTGCAGCGTTGGTGTAACACCGCCCACCACCCGCCCAAACGAGCACTGCAGTGTTGGTATAACACTGCCCACCACCTGCCCACCTAAGCACTGCAATGTTGGTGTAACACCACCCACCACCCACCAACCCGTCCACTGCAGTGTTGGTGTAACACCGCACACCATCCTCCCACCCAACCACTGCAGTGTTGAACTAACACCGCCAACCACCCCCATACCCGAACACTGCAGTGTTTGTGTAACACCACCGACCACCCGCTCACCCGATCACTGCAATGTTGGAGTAACACCACCCACCACCCTCCCACACGAGCACTGCAGTGTTGGTGTAACACCGCCCACCAACCGCCCACATAACCACTGCAGAGTTGGTGTAGCACAGCCCACCACCAACCCACAAGAGCACTGCAGTGGCGTAACACGGAAACACACACCCGCACACCCGAATACTTCAGTGTTGGTGTAACACTGCCTACTACCCGCCAACCTAAGCACTGCAGTGTTGGGGTAAAACCACCCACCAACCCGTCCACTGCAGTGTTGGTGTAACACAGCTCACCACCCGCTCACCCGAGCACTGATGTGTTAGTGTAACACCCCCCCCACCCACCCTCCCGACCACTGCAGCGTTGGTGTAACGCTACCCACCACCCACTCACCAGACCACAGCAGTGTTGGTGTAACACCACCCACCACCTTCCCACCCGACCCCTGCATTGTTGGTGTAACACCGCCAATCACCCGCCCATCCGACCACTGCAGTGTTGGTGTAACACCGCCTACCACCCTCTAAACACCCGCCCACCCGAGCACTGCAGTGTTGGTGTAACACCGCCCACCAAACGCCCACCCGACCACTGCAGTGTTGGTGTAACACCGCCCTCCACCCACCCACCCGAGCATTGCAGTGTTTGTGTAACACCGCCCACCACCCGCTCAACACCCGCCCACCCGACCACTGCAGTGTTGGTGTAACACCGCACACAACCCACCCACCTGAGAATTGCAGTGGTGTAACTCCGCCCAACACCCGCCCTTCCGAGCACTGCAGTGTTGGTGTAACACCGCCCACCACCTGCCCATCCGAACACTGCAGTGTTTTTGTAACACCGCCCACCACCCGCCCACCCGAACACTGCAGTGTTGGTATGACACCACCCACCAACCTCCAACCCGAGCACTGCAGTGTTGGTGTAACACCACCAACCTAGTGCCCACCCGACCACTGCAGTGTTGGTGTAACACCGCCCAACACCCGCCCACCCGAGCACTGCAGTGTTAATGTAACATCGGCAATCACCCACCCACCCGAATACTGCAGTGTTGGTGTAACACCGCCTACCAACGGCCCACCTGGCCACTGCAGTGTTGGTGTAACAGCGCCTACCACCCACCCTCAAGAGCACTGCAGTGGTGTAACACCGCCCACCACCTACAAACCCGAGCACTGCAGTGGAGTCACACCGTCCACCTCCAGCCCACCCTAGCACTGCAGTGTTGGTGTAACACCGTCCACCACCCGTCCACCCGATCACTGCAGTGTTGGCGTATCACCGCCCACCATCCGCTCCCCACCTGCCCACCACCTGCCCACCACCCGCCCACCACCCGCCCACTGCAGTGTTGGTGTAACACAGCCCACCACCCGCCCTCCCGATAACTGCAGTCTTGGTGTAACACTGCCCACCAGCCACCCACCCGAGCATTGCAGTGGTGTAACACCGCCCAATACCCGCCCACCCGAGCACTGCAGTGTTGGTGTAACACCACCGATCACCCTCCCACCCGAGCACTGCAGTGTTGGTGTAACACTGCCCATCACCCGCCCACCTAAGCACTGCAGTGTTGGTGCAACACAGCTCACACCCGCTAACCCGAGCTCTGATGTGTTGGTGTAACACCCCCCAAGAGCACTGCAGTGTTGGTGCAACACCGCCCAACATCCGCATACCCGACCACTGCAACGTTGGTGTAACACCAACCACTACCCACCCACCAGACCACTGCAGTGTTGGTGTAACAACACCCACCACCCGCCAACAAGTCTACTGCAGTGTTGGTTTAA